TCACTTTTCACAGCAGCAGACTCATTCACCAGCCAGACTAAACAAAAAAAAGGAACCAGAAAAAGCAAAAGTAAAAAAACAAGCAAAAGACAGGAACGTTCAAAGCACCTTATTTGTGTTTCTATTCTCTATAGGTCCAGGAAAGAATAGAGAAAACTGAACATTATTTTTATTATTGCGTCAGCAAAACCCCCTAAATAAATGAATGACAATGATTTCCACATGGATCTGTGTATATTTCTTTGTTTTTCCTAAAGTTAATTCAGTATTTTAGGATTTAGTATTTAGGAAGAATTCTCTGAGCGGCCGCCAGTGCGCTCTTTGCAGCCGCCCCACCCCAGAGGCGAACGCATCTCAGCTCCGGGTGAGTGATTAGTATCTGCTGCATGTACAATACAATAAGAGGTGCAAACTGCTAGTGTTCAAATATTGTTTTGTAACTGGAGAAAGCAGTAATGAAAGGTTAGAGCCAATTCAGGGGCTGGGCGCCCCACCACTACTGGGTTCTATCCCTGGCTCTTGGAGATTATGGGGGTCTGACAGGTTAGAGTAGGGGGGCTGGAATCCAAGACTCCTGGGTTCTGTCCCAGCTCTGGGAGAAGATTTGGGTTTAGCAGGGCTGAGAGTCTGGACTCCTGGGTTCTATTTCCAGCCCCACAAGCAATATGCAGCCTGCCCCTGTTGCAGGGAAGCCACTGGCAGCCCCACCCAGAGGGAGGGGAGGTTGGCAGGATGCTAATTCTGGGGTTTCTGAGAAAGCATCTCCCCCCAACGGCCCCTGCCAGCGCCCACTTCTGCTTTCACGTTCCTGTGCATGCCGCTTCCCCAGGCTCCGAGTCACAAACCCGGGCTGCAGGGTCGGAGAGCCAGATGCTGAGCGCCCCTCTGCAGGTTTGGGGTGAGTGGAAATACAGGGGGAAGGAGCTGGATCTTCTGTGGAGACTGTGGTGCCCCTCAATCCCGACCCACAGCCCCTTGCTATCCCAACCCTGGGCTCCCCTCCCCCACAGCTCTGCCGTGGCCCTTCAAGCCCGAGCAGGGTCCTGCCCCAGGGCTGCCCCACCATGGGGACCACACTGGAGGCATTGGTTCAGGGGGCCACATAGAGCAGGGGGATCCCCAGCTCTCATCTCTCAGCCTCCTTCCCGAGGACATCTGAGGGCATCAGAGGGATGGTGGGAAATGGAACTTCTGGGGTGTGCTTGGGGTGCAGGGAGGACAGGCATTGCAGAGGAGATAGTTATAGATACTCAAGGCTGAGCATATACGTACAAACGTCTCACCCATAGTCCAACTGCGCTGACTCCATTTCCCCCCATGGAGTTGGGTCAGCGCAAAGTGTGGGGTGTGTGTGGGGCCACAGATCCCCTGGGGCTCCCAGATACTCTATGGGGACAGGGCAGTCCCCCAGACATTGGGATGGAGTCTGGATCTCTCGGGTCTGGCCCCTTCCCCTCCAGCCCTGGGCAATGGGGGCCGTAGCACCCTGCTCTGGCAGGGGATGGTGCATGGGCCATGGGGGATCTGAGCTGAGATCCGCCCAGCTCACTGCAGTGGATGGGGGAGGTGGAGGCAGGAGTGAGAGGCCCATCCCATTTTAACAGGTAAAGACGGGGGAAGGTGTGAGTGACCCAATTCCCATGTGAGGAGGGGAACGTAGGGAGTGGTCCCTACCATTCTCACATGAATTAAGAGGATGGAGGGTCCGTAACACTGACAATGAGGAGAGTCCCAGCTGCAGAAGGAGCAGGGTGGAGCAGGGGAGGGGGCAAGGCAGCTGTGGGGCAGGGAGGGCAGCATTAGCGCCCCACCCTGTCTGCAGAGGGGGGAGCCATGAGCTCTCTGCAGCACCTCACCTCCGGGGTGATTTACCCACATCCAGTTCCACTGGGTCCCTGCAGAACCAGCCCCTCACTGTGCGGGGGTGACACCACCACTGCGGAAGGGAGGCTGAGCCAACAGGCTGCAAAGAACGGGGTGTTTGGAGGCAAAGCACACATCTGTGGATTTTAAAAGCCTGTTTCAGGATTTTGAAACCTTTTTCAGCCAATCACATGATTCTTAGAGAAATCTCAGGATTTATTAGTGAATTTCGGAGTGGGGGTTCCCGATGTCATGACATTCACATTAAATCTTGGGATTTTTTAGTGAATCCTGGAATCACAGATCCACAGGTGAGAAGGGACCTCAGGGGTCACCTAGTCCAACCCCTGCCAAGATGTAGGATTTGTTGGGTCTAACCCATCCTAGGCAGATGATGTCCGCCCTCCTTTCAAAACCCTCCAGGGAAGGAGCTTTCATGACCTCCATGGGTGGCTAGTCCATTGTCCGACTGCTCACACAGCTGGGGAGTTTTCTGTGAGATTTAATCTCAGTTGTCTCTGCTGTAGTTTGAACCTGTTGTCCCTCGTCCTGCCCTGTGGGGTGAGAGAGAACAATCTTCTTGATGGCAGCCTTTCCAGTATTTGCAAACTGCGATAATGTCCCCTCCCACCCTGCCAATCTCTTTTCTAAACTAACCATGCCCAGTTCCTTCAGTCTGAGCCCTTAGGGCTTCCATACCACCCCTTTCATCATCTTTATCCCTCGCCTCTGGACCTTTTCCAGTTTCTCTACATCCTTTCTATACATTGGTGACCAAAACTGGACACAATCTCCAGCTGAGGCACAGAGTGGTACTGTGACCGCCCATGACTTGCATGCTCTGCCTCTGTTCATGCAACCTGAAATTGCATTTGCTTTTTTGCAACAGCATCGCATTGCTGACTCATGTCATGGCTGTGATCCGCCACAACTCCCAGCTCCTTCTCAGCAGTGCTGCTGCCAGGCCAGTTCTTCCCCATCCTGTATTTGTGCATTTGTTTTTTCTTCCCTAAATGGAGCACCTTCCATTCGTCCTTCACGAATTTCATTTTGTTGTCTACAACTCAATACTCCAATTTTTCAAGATTCCTCTGAATTTTAGCTCCATCTTCCAAAGTGTTGGCAACTCCCACTAGCTTTGTGTCATCTGCAGATTTGATCAGTCTGCTCCCTAGTCCTACATCCAGGTCATGAATAATGATGTTCAAGAACATGGGACCCAGAACAGATCCCTGTGGAGCCCCACTTGGGACCTCCACTTAATAGTTCCACCAAGCTCACATTTGTCCATAAGATCAGCCATACTGGGTCAGACCAAAGGACAATCTAGCCCAGTATCCTGTCTTCCGACAGTGGCCAATGCCAGGTGCCCCAGAGGGAATGAACAGAACAAGTAATCAACAAGTGATCCATCCCCTGTCACCCATTCGCAGCTTCTGGAAAACAGAGGCTAGGGACACCATCCCTCTCCATCATGGTTAATAGCCATTGATGGACCTATCCTCTATGAATTTATCCAGTTCTTTTTGAACCCTGTTTTAGTTTTGGCCTTCAGAACATCCTCTGGCAAAGAGTTCCACAGGTTCACTTTGCGTTGTGTGAAGAAACACTTCCTTACATTTCTTTTAAACCTGCCACCTATTAATTTCATTTGGGGAGTTCTAGTTCTCGTGTTATGGGAAGGAGTAAATCATACTACCTTATTTACTTTCTCCACACTAGTCAGGATTTTATAGACCTCTATCATAGTCCCCTTGGTCGTCTCTTTTCCAAGTGGAACAGTCCGAGTTTTATTAATCTCTCCTTTTATGAAAGCTGTTCCACACCCATAATCATTTTTGTTGCCCTTTTCTGAGCCTTTTCCAATTCCAGTTTGCGATAGGGCCACCAGAACTGCACGCAGTATTTAAGATGTGGGTGTACCATGGATTTTATAGAGGCAATATGATATTTTCTGTCTTATTAGCTATCCCTTTCTTAATGATTTTTGATGGCTGCTGCACATTGAGTGGGTGTTTTCAGAGAACTATCCAGAGTGACTCTCAGATCTCTTCCTTGAGCAGTATCAGCTAATTTATACCCCATCACTTTATATGTGTTGTTGGGATTATGTTTCCCCATGTGAATAACTTTGCATTTATTAACATTGAATTTTATTTGTCATTTTGTTATCCAGTGACCCAGTTTTGTGAGATCCCTTTGTAGCTCATCGCAGTCAGCTTTGAACTTAACTCTCTTGAGTAGTTTTGTATCATCTGAAAATTTTGCCACCTCACTGTTTACCCCTTTTTCCAGATCATTTATGAACATGCTGAACAGCACTGGTAACAATACAGAATGCTGGTGGACACCTTACCTTGCTTAAAAGCCTTTGGGGAGGAAACTTGTCAAAGGCTTTCTGAAAATCTAAGTAAATGGACTAGGTCACCCTTGTTCACATGCTGTTGACTCCATCCAAAAATTCTAGTAGTTTGGTGAGCCATGATTTCCCCTTACAAAACTGGAGGTTTTATACATTGCTCTAGTAGCTTTCCAGGTGTCGAGGTCAGGCTGACTGGTCTAGAGTTCCCCGGCTCCTCCTTTTTCCTTTTTCAAAGATGCCCACTCTGTTAGCCCTTCTCCTGTCTTCTGAGACCTCTCCTGGCATTCAGGAGTTTGCAAATACAATTGCCAGTGGCTCCAAGGTTTCTTCGACTTATTCCGTCAGCACCCTGGGTTGAACAGCTTCCCGCCCCACTGATCTGAATTCATTCAAATTGGTCGGAACATCTCTGACGTGTTCTTTACTTATCCCAATCTGCAGCCCTTCCCCTTTGTTGTCCGTGGTAACTTCACTGGTCGCCCGCTCACATGTTGGTTTTTGGTGGGAAGACTGAAGCAAAGCAGGCACTGAGCAGCGCTGCCTTCCGACCATCTTCTGTCACCAGCTCGGGATTTACTGGCCACTCTCATGATTCTTAGAGAAAATCTCAGGTTTTTTGCCAATGTAAGGACTTTTTTAGCCCACGATCTCTCAGGAACATCTCGTGATTTGGGGATTTGGGAGATCACTGTGCTGCCAACAGCCCCAGATCATCCCCCTGCAGAGTCCAGCAGTACTGGTGGTCCTCCAGGCAGATCTGCGTCCCCAAACAGCCTCTGCTCTCACACTTCTCACCCCCCATCTGTTTCTAGGTCTGTCCCAGCCGGACGCCCCAGCCATGGGCAGAGCCCTGCTGCCACAGCACGACGTCGGGGAAAGGGAGCTCCCGCCTCAGGGCCCCCTCTGGAGAGCAGGGGGTCCTGCCACGCTGAGAGTCCTGATCCTCGCCCTGCTCTGGAGGGGTAAGTAAGCAGCTGCTGGAGCCCCAGTGCAGGGGGAAGGGCAGAACCTGCGCCAAGTGGTGCCAGGTCTGTCCCAGAACTTGAAAGGGAGACTGGCCAGAGGGGGAGGGGAGCCCAGTGCCCCAGTGTGGTGCTAGGGGGCGCTGAGTGACAGGGAGCAGGCAGGGGGCTCGATGGAGGGAGGGATGGAAAATAAATGCAGCGAGAATTGGTCAAGGACCCAGGGCTGGGCTCTCATGGGGCTGTTGGTTGGGAGTGAGGGGCACTGACAGACCTCGAGCGGGGGTTGAGCTGAGGGCTGGGCTCGCAGGGGGCTGCAGGTCGGGAGTGAGGGGAACCGGCAGGGCTGGGGGGTGCTGCTCAGGGTTGGTCTCTGCTCTCTATGGGTCCCACTTCGATCCCTCCCCGTCCCCTGCAGGGTCCCTGTCCCAGCCACCTGGATTTACCCTGGCGGTGCCGCAGTCGGTGTCAGTGCAGGAGGGTCTCTGCGTTCTTGTCCCCTGCACCTTCACGTACCCAGCCTCGTACGACACCGACAATCCCTCGGCCCAGCTATACGGACAATGGTACAAGCAGCCTGCTACTGTGGGCCAGGATCCTCCTGTGGCCTGCAGTGTCCCCATCGGGAATGTGTCGCTAGAGACCCAGGGCCGGTTCCGGCTGACGGGGGATCCAGCGCTCGGCGATTGCTCCCTGCAAATCAGTGATGCCCGACGGAGGGATGCAGGGAGATATTTCCTTTACATCGAGAAAGGCATGTTAGATCACACTTACCGCTCCAATTCCGATGGCACTGCCCCTGCGCTCACGATCTCCGTGGGAGGTAAGAGCAGCCGCAGTCACCGCTTGTGAGGGTTCCCCCCACTCTGAACTCTGGGGTACAGATGTGGGGACCCGCAGGAAAGACCCTTAAGCTTATATTCTACCAGCTTAGGTTAAAAACTTCCCCAAGGCACAAATTCCTTCCCTTGTCCTGGGACGGTATTGCTGTCACCACCATGTGATTTATAGAAAAATTCAGGGTAGGGTCACTTGGAATCCCTATCCCCCCAAAATATCCCCCCAAGGCCCTTCACCCCCTTTCCTCTGGAGCCTTGAAATAATATACCAACCAATTGGTTAGCAATGTGAGCACAGACCAGACTCTTTGTCTTCAGGCCACTGAAAATCAATCAGGTTCTTAAAAGAAGAACTTTATTTATATATATGGAAAAAAATAATCACAGCTGCAAAATCAGTTTGGAAGGTAACTTCACAGGGTAAATAAAAGATTTAAAACACAGAGGATTCCCCTCGGGCTCAGCTTCACAGTTACAAAAACAGGAATCCAACTACATCTGTAGCATAGGAAAATTCACAAGCTAAAACAAAAGTTCACCTCACGCCTTTCCCTGCCTACTTAAACAAAAAGAGAGCATGAAACAAATCCTCCCCCCACCCCCACAGATTTGAAAGTATCTTCTTTCCTCATTGGTCCTTCTGGTAAGGTGCCCAACTAGGTTATTTGTAGGGTTACCATACGTCCGGGTTTCCCCGGACATGTCCGGCTTTTGGGTCTTTAAATAGTCGTCCGGGGGGAATTTGTCAAAAGTTAAAAATGTCCGGGAGTTCCCCCGGACGGCTATTTAAAGACCCAAAAGTGGCTGACAGGGCAGCCGCGCCGGCTGAAAGCGGTACTGGGAGGAGCCTGGAGCAGCCGCGAGCGGTGGGTGCGGGCGGCCTGGCTCCCCCTGCCTGGGGCTCCCCTCGCCCGCCGGGGAGCGCGGGCTCCTCCTCTGGAGCACTGCCTGCCGCGGGGCTGGGGCTCTCCCGGGGCTCTGCCCTGCACGCGCCCAGCACCCCCGGGGCTGCTCCTGCCTCCCCGGTCTGGCCCCAGATCCCCTCCCCTGGGGGGCTGGGGTCCTGCTGCGGCTTGCGCCCCTCTGCCTCCTCCGCGGGGCAGGCAGCCCCAGGGGGTTGAGGCCGTGCCACCCCTTCCCCAGCTTCCCCCTCCAGCAGCCCCCGCACCGCCCTGCCGGGCCTGCTCAACCCTCGGCCCCACCGGGTTCTGCCCTGCCTCATGCAACCCGCCCCTACCATGCGGCGGCCCAGCCCGGGGGGACTGGGGGAGCTGCAGCAAAGCCCCTCACGGAGCTGGTGCAGGAGACGAGCCTGACTCTCAGCCCAGGCTCCGGCATCAGCCTGCAGCGGGGAGCGGAGCCACCCCCGCCAGCTCGGCTCAGCTCAGCCCAGCCCAGCCCCGCTCTTAAAGGGACAGGGACCCCACCGTGGCTCAGCCTGGCCTGGGGCACGTGGGGGTGTCACCTCTCCCCCCCACCTGGGGGGCCCGGCGAGGGGGGTGCTCGGCCCCATAGCAGCGCAGCGGGGAGGCCAGTGATGCACCTTACTCTCTCCTGCACTGCCAGCCACGGTCTTGCCTCCTTTCCCCAGCTCTGTGAGGCACTGTACCCCTCAGAGCAGCAAATGGTAGCAGATTCTACTGTCTCCAAGCAGAGTCTAGCCCTGAGTGTTTATTTCCACAGCAGTGAGTTTTCGGTTTGGTGCATTCACTCCTGATCTCCCTGGTAAAGTGTAACAAAAGCCCTTGGCATTCATTTTCTCAGTGTTTCTGGGAATACCTTTTTCAGTTTCATAGATTGATCTAGGATCTTTCTTTTGCTGTTTCCGGAGAGAACTGTTGACAGCAGGGAGATACGTCCCTGACTAGAGGGCAGGAAGCAAATTTGACTAGATCAGTTGTGACTTCCTTTTTATTTGTTACTATAAAATGTATTACACACAAATAGATTGCTAATGAACTTCCATCTTTGGGTTTCTGGAAAACAACTCACTCTAATACTTGGAAGATGCAGGGACCTTTGGTCTTGAAAAATGATCTTCTTTCCTCGTTGGTCCTTCTGGTAAGGTGCCAACTAGGTTATTTGAGCGGATTAATCCCTTACAGGGAAGGCGATTTAGTACAGCTGCCAAAGAGGGATTTTATGCTACTACACACATAAAGTTGTTACTCTTCCCTCTATATTTATGACACTGCTCATCAGCCCCCATGAGCCAGCCAGTCCCCATCCTGGGGCCAGATCGGACCCGGCGCCGCTAAAGGGCAGATGCCCCATGTCCCTGCGCAATTCTCTCCCCTCTCCCCATGTCTCAGAGTTGACGGAGGAGCCAGAGATCAAGATCTCGCCGGCGCGGGGGCTGCCAGGGACGTTGCTGGCTGGGGAGCCGGTGAATGTGACCTGCACGGCCCCTGGGCGCTGCTCCGGGACCCCTCCCCAAGTCACCTGGACGGGGCCGTTCAGTGACACAGCTCGGAATGTCTCAGCCCAGCTGGCGAATGGCACCTGGGCCCACAGCTCCGAGCTCCGCTTCACACCCGGCCTGGGGGACGATGGCAAAGAGCTCGTCTGCACCGTCACCTACAGCTCAGCACAGGGACCTTCCACCAGCAGAACCATCCGGCTCCACGTAGGCTGTGAGTGACCCACCCAGCCCCTCCACGACGGCTCCAAACTCCCTATGCTGGGATCCCCACCCCTGGGCTCCCAAGCCCTGCTCTCTAGCCCCTCCCTGAACTCAGCCCTGTGCTGGGATATCCATCCCGCACAATGCACCCTCAGCCAATTCTACTCCAGGCCCCTTCCCTCCACACTTTGGAGCCCTTCTCCCTTTGGATCTTCACCCCTTCTTGTCCCCATTGGTTATGGCTTCAATCTCTACTCCCGACCTGCCCTGTCTCCAGAATCCAGCTGTGCTGTGATCCGCCCCCCCTCCCATTGCAATCTCCCCTTGTTGGGATTTCCCCTCACAACAGCCACCCCAGTTCTCCCTGAGATCCCACCAGGCTGTCCCACCGCGTCTCCCCCACCCCCTCCCCTTTCTGCCGGGATCGGTGGATGCTCTATATGGGGCAGAGTGTTAATGGGACTCAGTCGCTGTCCGGCACTAAACACACTCTGGGATCGGTGCCCAGAGACCTCGGCCTGCCCTGCCCCAGGGCAAAACCCCGTTAAATGGCCTGTGACCCTCGCGCTGCAGATCCAGGGCATAGGGAAAATCAGCGGCTGCCTTTGCGAGGTGAAAGATCAAATCAGGCATCAGTGTAAGGACGGCCCTTGTTCCCTTTAGCCAGAGGGAGATTTAGAAGGAACCCACCTCCCAGTCCCCCATGTCTGAGCCCAGGCCCCAGCCCGACCCCGAACAACTACACAAACCTCGGAGGAAACGTCCGTGCTGCAATGAAAGACCCGCAGCCCAAGTCCCATGAGCCCGACTCAACAGACCCAGGCTCTGAGGCTCGGCACCACGGAGCATTGAAGGCAGCGTGGACGGACCCTGCCACGCTTGGCCAGCCTGTATCAGAGTCCGCTTGTTCCACGTGTTATTTTAGCCGCCCCTCTGGGCGCAGCAGGGCTGCAAAATATCCAGGCCTGGCCAGATAAGCCAGAGGGCAAAAGGAGAGTACTGGGGAGAGCAGCCAAGAGGGGAAGGCAAAGGATCCATGATGGGGGTGTCTGATGTCCCTGGTGGTTGCTGGGTCTGGGGTGGGGGTTCAGTGGAGTTATTTAGACCCCTTCGGGAGGACACGTTTGGGGAGCAGGACGCTGAATGCCCAGGTGCCCGGCAGACAGTGGCGCTGGTGACGCTCGCTCAAGTACCCAGGCAGAAGCAGCCCAGCACCTCATTAGTGACTCTGCCAATTAGGCCCAATTTTGACCAACCAGTTTTGGTCCCCTGGGTTTCCATTTCCCACGGTTCTGGTTCCCCGGCACAGCCCTAACCCAGCCCCTGGGTTCCGTCGGGCGCCTCTTGGGTCGGGCTCAGTCGGGTCTGTCGCTTCCCTTCCTCGCCCACGGGTCTTGTGTCACTTCAGAGACTTTCCCGTCCCCCAGCTGAGCTCACAGTGAGGGTCCATGTCTAGGCTCAGTGATCACTAGTGAGCCCCCCACCCCCGGTGCTGTCCAGCCCCCCTGATCTCCCCTGTCTGGTTTGTGTTACAGACCCACCCGAGCCCCCCAACATCACCGGGACCCTGACCAGGAACAGACGCCCCGGTGAGAGGCCCCGCTGCGAGCCCCGGGAATCAGTGACCGCCTCCTAGTCACGCTCTGCCCGCGCTCAGGGCCAGACGCCAGACTCAGTCAGGCCAGGCTGCTCCATGCCCGGAGGGGAGAGCCTGAGGGGTGCCACAGGACTGTGGGGAGGGTGCGGGGGAGTGGGGATGAGATGGGTCAGGGACCGATCTCTGCGACAGAGACCTGCTGCCATGGAGAGTCAGTAGGGTTGTGCTCCAACCCCAGACCTGGGTACGTCTCCACACTGGGCGAGGGCTCCTCATGTAAACAGCCCCCATTTCCCACCCCAAAGGTGTCTGAACCTCGGTTCCTTGGCAGAGGATCTCTGGGGAGGGCCTAACTGGCCTCCTCGTCTCTTCCAGTGCCAGATGCCCGGGGAGCTGAGGGCGATGTTGTGTCTCTGGAGACCCAGGAGGGTGACTCCCTGAGTCTGAGCTGTGAGGCTCGGAGCAGACCTGATGCCACCCTGAGCTGGGCCAAGGGGAACGAGTCCCTGAGCACCGGTCAGGGAGGGGCTGGGCGCCTGGAGCTGCCGAATCTCAGCCGAGGGGATGCTGGGGAGTATCGGTGCTGGGCGAAGAATTCCTACGGATCTGCCAGCCGGGCCCTGCATGTGCACATGCAGTGTAAGGCTCTAGGGGGCGCTGTGCTGCAGGCAGAGTGGCAGGGGGTCAGTGGGGGGGCGCTTTCCAATCTAACATGTTGCCGTGGGTATTTCAGCTCCAGTGACGACTCTGCAAATCGCCATCTCCAGAGCTAACAGGAACGACCCCCAGCTATTCCAATGTATCGCTAGGGGGTGGGGAGTGGGGCAGGGGGGTCTTTCCCCTCTAGTGGTGCTGGCCTGATCCAGCCCCCGGGCAGGGACTGGTTGGCTCAGGGTGCGAGTGGTTTCTTGTTATTCCTATTCCCAGATCTCGGCACCCTGGTGGCCAATAGTTCACAGTTCACGGCCCAGGAGTGCGACTCCCTTTAGTTCCCCTGCTCCCTCGCCAGCAGCTCCCCCGCAGTGCTGAGCTGAGTCATGGGGATCCAAGCCGCTGTGGGTTCCCGCCCCATGGGGGTGAATCAGCTGTGGCTGGAGCTGCCCAAGGTGACGGCTGAGGACAGGGGGCTCTACAGGTGCTGGGCCTAGAATGAGAGCTCTACCAAGGGGACGTTCCAGCTGCTCATCGAGTGTGAGTGGGGTTAACCCAGGAGACTACCTGCCACTGGATTTCATTCTCTGACTATTGTCGCTGTGTCTCCTGCTCTCCCCAGACAGCCCCCGGCCAGGGACCAGACTGAACTCGTCCTGCCAGTGCCAGGGGCTCAGCATCAGCTGCAGCTGCTCCTTGCGCTCCCACACCCCACCCCGGCTCCAGTGGCAGGTGGACGGCGAGCCCCTGGCTGGGAACGGCTCACAGGGGGCCCTGCAGATCAGCTTGTGGGCCCAGGGGGACGAGACTGTCAGAAAAGTGTAGGGGACAATTTCCTGGTGCAAGTGCTGGAGGAACCAGCTAGGGGCAGATTTCTTCTTGACCTGCTGCTCACGAACCAGGAAGAATTAGTAGGAGAAGCAAAAGTCGATGGGAACCTGGGAGACAGTGACCATGAGATGGTCGAGTTCAGGATACTGACACAAGGAAGAAAGGAGAGCAGCAGAATACGGACCCTGGACTTCAGAATAGCAGACTTTGACTCCCTCAGGGAACTGATGGGCAGGATCCCCTGGGAGAATAACTTGAGGGGGAAAGGGGTCCAAGAGAGATGGCTGTATTTTAAAGAATCCTTATTGCGGTTGCAGGAACAAACCATCCCAATGTGTAAAAAGAACAGTAAACATGGCAGGCGACCAGCTTGGCTTAACAGTGAAATCCTTGCTGATCTTAAACACAAAAAAGAATCTTACAAGAAGTGGAAGATTGGACAAATGACAACGGAGGATTATAAAAATATTGCTCAGGCTGCAGGAGTGAAATCAGGAAGACCAAATCACACCTGGAGTTGCAGGTACAAGAGATGTTAAGAGTAAGAAGAAGGGTTTCTTCAGGTATGTTAGCAACAAGAATAAAGTCAAGGAAAGTGTGGGCCCCTTACTGAAT